GGGGCAGCAGCTGCCGGTAACCGCCCTGTGTGGTTCGCAGGATGGAGAGAGATGCCCAGTTTGCCCAGCGCAAGGCGGAGAGGGCCACGTACGTTCAGGTCTTCCGAGACAAGTACAGGCTCCCCAAGGTACAGCCGTGCCGGGCGGGGTGGGGGTGGGGGGGCACACAGGGAGCCCTCGTGGGGGTCTTGGTGGATGGGGCCACGGGGGAACAGACAACACCCCTGCTCTGCAGGGAGGGGAAGGGGCACTGGACCCCCTTGGCTGGGCGGGCTTTTGAGCTACAAAGCCCAAGTGCAAAGCAGTCCCCCCCTAAAAAGCATCCTTCCACCCAAATCTTGGCCCCTTCCCGTCACCTCTGAGCACCGCAAGCCACCAGCCCCACACAGTGGGACCCCCGACACGCACCCTCTGCCTTGCTCGATCCCCCTCTTCCTCTCTTTTATCCCCTAAATCCAGCTGGACGAGGGAAAGCCGCCTTCACCCCAGACTCCCAGCCCCGTAGCCGGGAGTGGAGCCGGAGTTACGCCTTCCCGGCTGGATTAGCCAGCTCCTCTCCCCGGATTATTTGGCAAACATTGCCCAGCTAAACTCCCATTTCGGAACTTCCACCCAAGGAATGATTCACTAGAAACAATTCAATCAAGGATAATTCAGCCATTCTTGGAATTGCCACAAGCTCTTCTCCTCCCAAACCCACCCTTTATCCAGCAAGAGTCTCTCAGCGGTGAATACTCTAAATTGGAGCCGGGCTAATTTTAGTCCAGAAAGGTCAGCTAAGCCAAGTGATGTTGTTCAGATTGCTTGATATTGTTCAGCCAGCCTGGATGCACACCCCGCTGCTTCTCACGCCCCTTTTATTGCCAGGAAATAAACAGCTGGAGAATTTATTTTTCCCCTGCCAAAAGCGAGAAAAGGCGGAAAAAGAAGAGATGGAGGTTTTTTTTTTCTCCAGGGGAAACGGGGATTTGTTCAGATCTGGCCCCCCGGTCCTTTTGCTGCTTTCTCATGCTTGAGATGTCCCTTTTAGTCTTTTGACAAGTTTCTTCTGCTCGTTACTGATCCCGCTTGGCAGCCGGGCTGCCTCTTGCAAAGTCTCCCCTGTGGCTCTCCGGCGCAGAGCTGACCCCGAGCTCCGGTGGGCGCAGTCATTAAGCGTACGTGTAGCTTAATTGGGTGCCGAAACCTCCCCAACCACTCCAGTACGAGCTGAAAGCCCATTTATACTGGCGCTGGCACGCTCGGGTTATCATCGCAGCTCTTGCTGTGTCCGTTGGTGTGTGCCCGGGCTCTGCTCAGCCGCGTGCCCTCTGGGTCCGCAGTGATGGAGCTTATGGGCACCATCCTACCCGCAGCACGAGGATGACTGTGAGCCCCAGGGACCAGCCCACATGGACCTTAAAATGGGAAGACAGCCCAAAGCCCACGCAGACACCGCTGTGAACCTTGCCCGTGCCTTTAGTGCCTCCAGAAGCCCCCTTCCCACCTGCAGCATCCCACCCCTGACCTTCTCCTGGCCCATTTCAGAACGAAACGGATGACAACCAGATCCAGCTGGTGGGAGGCGATGTGGAGCTGCCCAAAGAGCTGGCCAAGATGATCGAGCAGGACAACGAGGAGGAAGAAGAGAAGAACTCGGTTATCGGCCAGCTCAGCAACATCCAGAACCTGGACCTTGATTCCTTGAAAGACAAAGCTTCGGCCACGCTAGAGGACCTGAAGCAATCGGCTGAGAAATGCGCCGTGATGTGACCGGGCTGACACCCCCCCCCTCCCCATCAACGTGACGGTGGGGGAGAAGGGAGGGGACGCAGCGAAGGGTCTGGCGGTGGCTGTTGCCTGCGGCGGGGACCCCACTGATGTTGTCACCCTTGCCTTGTGTGAGTCGGGTCCTCCTTCTGAGCCATGTGAAGCCCCAAGTCCCTGACCCCGATGTCCCTGATGTGTGGGGTTTTTTGTTTCGTTCTCCGGTCTGAGGTTAGAGCGAAGAGCCAGCATGTGTCCCCCCCCCGCCCCCGCCCCAACGCCTCCTCCTGTGCCCCTGGCAGTGGGTGTCTTTAGCGAGAGCTGGGGGGGGTTGTAGGGAAGGAAAGCCCCGAGTGACCTTGGAGTGTTATTGAATGACATCGGCACGGGAAGGCAAAGGCTTTCCAGCAGAGTGGTGGCCACGCGCCGTGTCTCTGCCTACACATTTCGACCGAGCCTCCTAGAAATGTCAGGGAGGCTCCAATCTGCTTTGCAAGGACGACGCACAATGCGACATCCCCCCCCCCCCCCCCTCCCCTAACCCCCCCCCCCCCCCGCATCCCATACCCATCGCACGAGAAATAACATCCCGTCCGTGCAAGAAATACCAACCGCTCTGCCCTTGAGGGCCCTTCTCAAAGGAGTCAGCCGGGAAGGACCTGCTATATGATCCCATTTAGCCCAGCGGGGAGGGGGGTGTTGAGGACCAGAGGGCTGAAGCCTGAATTAATGCCAGAGCGGAATAAACCCCCTCCCCGGTGCTCATCCGAACCCACGCCAGCCCTTCCCCAGAGCGGTGGCGGCACAGCCTCCCTCTCCCGGGGTGGGATCCACTCGTGTCCTTGTTCCTTCCAGGAGAAGAACAAAGTGATAAGGGAAAATCTCCTCCTCCTCTGCCGTGCTGTAGTTGTGCGCTGTGCTCGGTTGACTGTCTCTCCACCTCCTATGCTGTCCCCGTGCCACCGTGCTGTTATAACCGGTGGAATAAATACCAGGAGATGTCTATGCATTTCTTTCTCTCCTCGAGCAGTGCTTTCCTGATGAAGGGGTTGGGGCGCCCCAAGGCGCGAGGGGTGTAGAGAGATCAAGCCCATCCCCTTTACAGGGCAAGGGGGGGGAGCAGTGATGGGAGCTCAGGGGAGAAATCTCTTCCAGCGTCACCCAGAAGAAAGCATCACGCCTGGTTGTGGTCGGGTGTTTTGCCACGTTTCGTACCGAAGGGATTCTCCGAGCGGCTCTTTGTCAGCAGCCGGGTTTAAAAGCAAACAACCCCCCACAGATTTCACAGATTATTAGCTATTTTAGTAAAAAGCCTTCAGATCACTCACCAGTTCCCTGCCTCAGTCTCACGGACGCTGCGGGATGTCCGCGGCACTGCTCCGAGCAAGGACACGTCTCTGCGGGGACGAAACCGTGATAAGTACAGGTGTGACTTCAAGCCGGAGCAGCTCCGGCCTGCCGGCGTCCCGGTGGGTGGTGGGCTCCCGCGGCGAGGCTTCCTTGAAAAACTTGGCACAGGCTGGGAATTTACCGCTCCAAATCCCAAAGGGAGCGGATTAACCGCGATTTGCTTTTGCAGGGGAGTTGGGTCATCCAGGAAAACGCAGGGGAGGGTGCTGGGAAGCTGGTATTATTATTATTATTATTATTATTATTATGGGGCTGCTGGGCTCAGCAGAGCTCCCCGGTACGGCCAGGAGATTGCTTTCTGCCCCCAGCCCCCTGGTAATACCGTGCTGGGGCCAAGGTGTCCCGAGAAACTCCTGATACCCTCCGAAGCCAGAGGTTGTCTCACCTCTGAGAAGAAATCAGCCACCGCTTTGGCCGGCAGGGCAGACAGACAGACAGACAGAGGCAGCTCAGCCCCCCGGCCGCAGCTCGGGCGTGATGCTCTGCCCATGGAGACGCACATCATCGCAACCCTCCAGCCCCACGGTCCAGGCTGCTCTCCAGCCCCACGGGGACCCACCGGCAGCTCCGGGGGCACCTGCCTCGGGCAGAGCCCTAACCCAGCCCCACACGGGGCTGGAGGCTGGCGAGAAAGGAGAGGGAAGATCGGCAGAAGCAGCTTTAGCTTTGAAAAGAGATCATACCTGATGAGGATCAGCCCAAGCTCATCTAATCCCCCACCAGGAAAGGCATAGCGGAGAGCAGGCACTGACCAAGCCAAGCCCTCCAGCCAGGCTTGGCTTTTAAATCCCCAGCTGATGGCAAGGCTTGATCAATAAAATATCCCGCGGGTGGGAGGGAGGGAGGGAGATGGGGCCGGGGGATGCAGCCCTTTGGTTCATCCCCACCCGTACTCGGTGTAACCCCACCAGGACACAGCCCGGAGCCTCTCCCCTACCTTTTATTTTGCCCCCCCCCCTTTTCCCCGCTCCCCCAGCCGCGGAC